TCTAAAGCGATATATTTCTAGATAACCCATGGGTAAAGGGAAGCCCAGTGGAAACAAGAAAGTATTTTGAACTGAATAATAAAATATATAACTAATATCATGGTTAGAGAAAAATTTATAGGTTTAATTACATAGGTTTAACTATATAGTTTTAACTATATATATAACTACATAGGTTCAACTATATTAGGAGTGGTGGCAAAAACCACATGAGCCAAGCATCCACCTCAAGATGTTAGAAAAAAGAAGAACAAATTGAGCTCAAATACAATAAAAGCCAGGAAAACAAATTAAGAATGTAAATTAACAAAATCGCAAAGATTTGATAAAGAAGATCAACACAATCAACTATCTGTTCTTTGTAAAGACTGGTTAACTTGATAAATCCCTGATGAGTGAAACTAAAAGAATAAGGAGTGAATTTTAGGGATGAAAAGGCACATATCACTGTGTATTAAAAAATCACAAAAGGATGGTATTAACAACCTTATGCTGATAAAGTAGAAAATGTGGATGGGATGGACAAATTCTTTTTCAAAATTCAATTTACCAAAAAGTTGAAAGAAGTGAAATATTCAAATAGACCTAAAATTGTTACAGATACCGCATTCAAAATGCACTATTCTTGATTCTCCATCTGGATTGGTTATTCTCTAGGCTGTTTTGTGAGCTGTTATGCACTAATTCTTTTTTATTTTCCCTTTCTTTTTTTCCAGAGCTTGTTCCCTGTGGTCCATAACGCATTTTGATCAAACGTATTTTCCAGTAGCTCTGAGGATGAGTACACCAGAGTGTAGCAGGTATTTGTGGTACCCTGAACACAGACATTAAGGTCACACTCAAATGCTTAATTGATTATAAAGGAATAAAGAATTCTCTGTAGCTTTCTTTTCTTGTCATATCTTCATCTGTTTTGGTATCAGGGAAATACTTGCCTCATAGAATGAGTTGATAACATTCTTCCTTCTCTGTTTCCTGAAAATGTTTGTATGTGATGATCACAAGCTCTGTTAATAGCCAAAATTATCTTCTACTTTCCATTTTCTCCTCTTTATTAATGTCTTGTTATTTTGTTTTTAATCAATCCCATATTCCCTTAAATCTCACGGAGAATATTAATTATAATTTTTTAAGATTTATTTATTTATCTTTGAGAGATGAGAGAGAAAGAGAGAGAAAATGTGGGGGAGGAGGGGGAGAGGGAGAGAAACTTCAAGCTGACTCCCTGCTGAGCACGGAGCCTGACATGGGGCTCAGTCTCACAACCCATGAGATCATGACTTGAGCTGAAACCAAGAGTCAGATACTCAACCGACTGAGCCACCCAGGTGCTCCTATTAATTATAATTTTTAAGGGCCTCTCTTGTTTTCTCATGTGTCCTATTTTAGGGGGGACCATTTTCTTAGAATGGTTAGCTTTCGATTTTTTAAATCGTTTTGATAATTTAGACATTTTTATTTTTTGCTCATATTTATAAATGAGGTTCTCTAAATTAATGAGGATTAATCCTCATTACCACTGTGAAAAGTAGCTAATATTACCTCTATGACAAATCCTATTAATCAATAGCTGATACAGTTTTTCCATTTGCCCACATTCAGAGCCTTCTTGGAGCCCAAAGAGTCTTTCATCCAGCATAGTTAGTGAGCAAGAATGAGCCTCACTGGGGCCCATGAACCAGAAGCAGTTTGGCAGATGAACAACGTGGATCCTTGAGCAGCAAAATGACCTCTTCACTAGGGTCAGTGGGCAGGCACACCAGGGTAAAGCCTAGCATGGATGCTTCTATCAGCTTTTCCTTGTCCAGGGCACTACTCTCCTAGTGCTTGCTCACTAGGGTCTGCTCTTTGGCATAGCCATATTGTCATCCTCTGCTGGAACAATCTTTAGAGTGTCAGTATCCATTTTGCAGTTGATGGGCAAGGTAGTGAAAGAGCCTTGGGAAGCCAAGGACATTAGGAATTTTACTGCCCTGCCAAGCCATCCACCTAACCTCAGTGCTTACGTTCTGGCAACTCAAACATAGCTGAGTCACTGCCCTGGCCCCAGCTGTATGGCCCACATTAGGGACTGCTAGACAAACACACTTTACTTAGCAGTCAGTTCCTATGGAAGGAAGCCTGGACATGCTTCTGGCCCTGAAGGGGTGCTGTTCCAGTTCCCATATAAATTTTAATATTTCAACCCCAATTAATCCCAGCTCCATTATATTTCAGTTTTACATTGCTTCCCTCAGCCCTAGCCAATTAGATCATGGCACAATGGAGTGCCAATAAATAATGTGCAAGAATTCTACATAGAAATCTGTCAAATGTTTTTGAAAGGTCTTAATAAATGAAGGGATACATCTTGTTCATCAGTGGAAAAGCTCAATATTCAGATGTCAATTCTCTAAAAATTGGCTAGTAGACTCAGCTACAATCCCATTGAAAATCCCACATGCGTGTGTGTGTGTGTGTGTGTGTGTGTGTGTGATAGATATGTTGAGCCTATGTTGTCTTGCTGAGGGAGCAGTATCAGCACAAGCAGAAAAGCATGAAGGAACACGGTGTGTGCAAAGATAACGTAAGTAGTTTGGTTCCAGAGGGAAGTTGTAGGGATTTGGTGAAGTCAAGGCTTGGAGGGGGCTTAATTGTTTTTTTGTTTGTTTTTTCTGCATGTGATGGAAAACATTTTAAGAAGGGGTAACCAGGTCCGATTTACATTTTATAGAAATCACTTTGCCTTTCCCTTCACCTGCTCAGATCTTTACTGCAGGTGACTACATTCCCTGGGCTTCTGGTCACTATGACTTCCAGGTAGGTTTGGCCAACAGAAGGGAGAAGTACGAGACCGGAAGTCTGGAGAAGAGAAGTCAGGGTATTCATGTGTTACCCCCGCTGTTGCACCCCCTCCCCCATTGCCTGTTGTGGGGTTTGCTGAGGCAGCTGCACATCCTCCAGACTCCAGCTTTCTCCAGCCTGGCCCACCTCTCAGGTCCAATCAGGGATCACGACCTCTCGATGACCTCCTACCACAGGACACATAAATACACTTCTATTATAGTACACAGAACATTTTGTTGCAAGTCTTGTTTGATTTGCCTGATTCCTCTTGTAGTCTGTGCACTCCTTCATGGTAAGAATTAGATTTTCTTGATATTTGCTTTCTCAGTCTGCAACAAAATGACTGGCAGAAAGAAGGTGCTCAATAAATATTTGATGAATCGGGTGCAAATGAATGAGGGCACGCCTGCGGTGCAGGAACAGACCTGTTGCACGGCCATTCCTCCTGGACCCATGCACATGAAAGTGATCCTTTAGTGTGGGGCTTCCTGTGGAGTTGATCGATTCGTTTGTTCATTAAATATTTATAGAGCACCTGGTAGGTTTCAAGCATCGAGCCATATCACAAGTGTCCTCTTGGCTTCGAAAAAATTATTATTCCAACACAGAAAGCAGCATTATTACATTTTGGTTAGTCATTCCTGCAGATGAATGCAGAGCAGACGAAAAAGTTGTTAAGGCTGATGGCATACATGCCAGTGTGAGACTTTTGCTGTCACCCTGCGGACTTTCATGTTCCAGACCTGCTCCTCAGGATGGACCTCCTCTTATTTCATTTCAGCATAGGAAGCCTGACATGCCTTTTCATGGGCCTGGCTCAGGCAGCCACGAGCAAATGCTGCTGCAGACCAAAACATAGGCAGGGCATACACAGGTGCACATATCAGAGAAGAGATGTGATGTGTTTGGGACAGAGGACACGGGAAAGGCATGTTTGGGGACCATGGAACCTTCTAATCCTTGCTCTTGCCCAAAGGCCCTAACTCACACAGGGCTTCCTCTGCTCATTCCTCATCAAGACAAGTTCCTTTTTATCTTTTTATCCCTTTCCAAAACCTGTTCTCTGCAAGAATCTGAAACTCATGTACTTGAAGTTATCAATGACTAATAATGAGAGTTTCCTTTCCTCACTCTAAAGATGAGTTCCCATTTATCTCGTTCTTGTCCAAAACCCACTTTCAAAAGAGAATTTGAAATTTATCTACTGTAAATTATAAAATAATATAAAAGCTTAAAGATTATTATTTCCCTGATGTCTTCTAGTGGGTCTTCCTATCTAAACAGTATAGAAAGACTTAGGCTAACATTGTAAGTAGTAGATTGATGACTGGGATTATGTTCTAGGCAAAATATAAAAAGACAAGTCTAACTGAGGCTCTTGAAATTATTCCAGGAAGGTGGTTATCTTCTTTATCTGCCAAGTTGGACAACAGAGGGGAAGAGGCTAAAAGGTCGGGGAGGCGAAAAGGTCAGTGCCAGAGGCACAGGTAGGGCGTAGGCTGACTAGTTGAACGTCTGAGGTCAGCGGTTAATTAAGGAGAATGAACCTGTGCAGGCAGTGTTCAGGGGGGAGAAATTACATTGAATGATGTGTGTCAGGGTCTTGGTTACATAAATATTTTTGGTGCAGGAAGCAAAAGGGGAAAAGGGAAAAGAACGGGTCTTGGTTTGTCTCTTCTGCATGAGAACATCTTTGATTTTTTTCAGCCGTTCAGACCCCCTAATAAGAGGATGGGGAGGAAAAGAAGGGGCTGCGGGCAGGGCCAAAGAAGAGAGGCTGGAGGGACTCAGAAATGCTTCCACCCCGCCCGCAGGCCTATTGGAAGGAGTCTGGGCGGGCGCTGGGCGGAGCCTGTGGAGCATCCTCTAAGCGGCCGCCTCTGAGAACCATGGGAAAATCCTTCCTCCCTCGGACATGGCGCCCACCTGCCCCGCGGCAGCGGCCGAGTCCGGCGCCGCGGTTCGCGGGTCCGGGCCGAAGAGCAGCTCGAGCTTCAGTCGCGGGGCGGAAGGAGGGGGAGGCGGCGGCGGCGGCGGCGGCGGTCG